TCGGGCTGGCTCGCGAGGAGGCGGAGAGATCAAGGCGGGGTACCTCACGAGGTGCCCGTGACGCAAGCCATGACGACCAAGGCGAGGTCGGCGCCGGCCTACGCAGAGTCCTCCTTTCCCCTTTGGTGCAAAGGGGGCAAGCGCAGGCAAGGGTATCAAGCAAAGGCAACAATTTCGGTGCAACAAGACCAAGACCAGCAGGGCGGCAGAACGGAGGTCATCGTGGAGCCCAAGCCAGTGTCATCGTCAGGGTCTTTGGCAGGCGAGGACCAACTTTAGTCAGGATAAGTGTACAAGATGTTCCCCTTCAAAATGGCCAATTGTTGGCGCCCTTCCCGCTCAATATTTGGGAAGAGGCCCAGGGCCTCCGCCTATAAATAGGACTAGCCACCCCAGGGTAGAGGCACCTGATCCATCGGCATCTGATCTGGAGACCAACCAGAGAGAAGAACCTTGGGCAACACCATCATAAGAACAGACCCTCGCGAGGCTGTTCTTCCTTTGTATTGTTCATCATCAGCCCCAGAGGCAATCCACCACACCACACACTGGAGTAGGGTATTACACCACAATGGTGGCCTGAACCAGTATAAATCTTGTGTCCTTTGTGTTGTTCTCCGTGTAGTTTAGATCCTAGGGAGGCGGTGAGACATGAGTAGGTTGGGGTGTGATCTCCGCGTGCACCCTAGTGTTCGAACCTCAAGGGTCTGCCGGAACCCGAAATCTGACACTCGCTGGACACGAGGAGGTATGCACCACCACTGCCTCTCCATCGCTTTGCTTATCCCTCGCCGGGATTTGGTATTTTGACAATTTGTTCTCTGTGTGTTGTTCCCTGCAGTACATCGTGAGGGGCAGGCAGAACCTCTTCCCACAGCTCCCTAAAGTGTTCAAGGGTGTCAAGCAGATCGGAGTCATCGGCTGGGGCTCCCAGGTTCAGTTTGCTCCCCTCGCTGCATTGTTTCTTTCCTAACTCTCGATATTTACATGTCTATCTACTCGAGACACTACCTGAATATACACATCAGTCGGTGTGTTCAAATTGAGTGATGGATTCAACACATATTTGTTCTATTTTGCTACTTAGGTTTGAGTCTGTAAGTTTGTGCGCTGGCTCATGGAATATTTTGGGGTGTTTTTTCAGGGTCTAGCGCAGGCCCAGAACCAGAGAGATTCTTTGGTTGAAGCCAAGTATGACATCATCTTTAAGGTTTGTTATTCTCATGTATCTCCAGCTTTAGACATGGAATTGAGTTTTCACTATGTGTTGAGTGAAAATCTCTAAAGCTTTTGCTTGCAGCTCTGAGTGAACACCCACAACTAATGTTTATTGTTTTCTTTACATTTATAACTTGCACTGGGCACTATTTATTACTTGTTGTTGCTTAAATTGAGCATTTCATATTGTACAACTTGGAATATGGAAAACATGTGACAACTGGTATTATGTCCCATTTGGTATGTACTTTGGACTATCATGTCAGATGTTCAATAAGCTCTTTTCTCTTTCAGATCGGTCTCGGGAAAGGTTCTAAATCTTTTGAGGAAGCACGTGCAGCTCGGCTCACTGAGGAGAACGGGACATTGGGAGAGATACGGGAGACGGTTTTCGGCAGAGATCTTGTGCTTCTGCTCATCTCAGATTCTGCACAGGTGCGCATCATGGTGACTAGCTTTATGCACGATTTTAAACTTTCCTTTCTCAAGTGTTTGTTTAGATTAGGCTCAGTTCCAGGACGATTTTTCCTTGCATCATGTTGGTTTAATTAATCAATTTAACTTGCATACTCTTTATGGAGCATACTATGAATCATTAACTGCATGATACATTTTTTTAGTCCCGCCATCACTTTATTCTATCCTTGTAACTGAAGTTATCATCGGTTCGAAACTAAAGAAAATGATTTGGGGTGAAGAGTTGAAGGCCTGAAGCCAAATGTTCCTAATCAGGAAGATGACCCGCACAACTCCTGTGAAACAAGGCCAACGCTATGTGCCAAGATTGTATTGCTTCATGAAGACACTTTTTTTATCATTCATTTTTATTATTCAAATCTCTACATGGTCGGCATATATACTTCTATTACATGGATTCATCACTATTTTTCATGTTTTTTTGTAAACAGAACTCCCTTTATACTAATATATTTGTGAACAAGGAGTAGTATACATTAAGCTTCATTTCACGCAGGAGAGCTTCCGCCACATTGAAGTTAATTAATCTCAATATAAATTCAGAATTCAATACTCACATGAATTTCATAGGATGCTTTGATCGAAACGTGTGTTGCACGTGCAGACTTACTAGTTTTAATAAAGCAGCGAAAGGAAAGCTGAAAGTCCACCGTCAGTGTAACGACATTTGGAATCTTGCGCTTTGGACAAGGGCCACGTAAACTCGCTTGTGGCCTAGGCAGGCAGACACGTCTAGCGATTCGAGTGCGCCTGGGCCCAAACTCCGAACCGAGCCCGTGCATCCCCGTGCTTGATCCAGCCAGCTCTGGAGGGCCAGACCCACGGATCAGAGTACCTCATGTTTTCCGTTCCATGCTCTCAAAAAAAAAATGTTTCCCGTTCCATGGGTTCCTGTGAAAGAAACTAGTAGGACCAGCGAATCCATGGTACGAGGTCTACGGAGGGCCAGTCGTGTTCCTCTCTTTCGTCCACGTTCCTGCTATGCAGTGCCGCTTGTTGGTTACAGCGAGGGCCACATTTTATTCTAAATTTTGTATCAGCAGATTGTAACTTTATTGCTTTGCAATAAAAAGAATTTACACCTGCAAATTTTTTTTTAACAATATCGTCACGATTTCCAGTGCTAGTAAGCACCAAGCAGGGCATTTACATCTTTAATTAATGGATTAATCAGGAGCACCGTCGGCGGCAACAGCCAGCGAGCTACCGCAACAGTTGAGAGCGATTCTAACAGTTCTGCTTTTGGAGATGTTTGCCTCCCTGATTGAAACGGAGATTGGAGAGAGACAGAGACAGTGCATGTGCTTACATATAGCTATTAAAATTACCGAGCCTAGTTAGTTAAAATCGAGGTTTCTTTGGCATAAACTGAGGAAGCATGAGTGGATATACCGTCGATGAGAAAGAGGCCAAGGAATTCACCAGCGGTATAAATTTGGATTCACCACATGGGTTGAGTCGCCCCGTTTGGAATCTGGAGACAGGATCTTCCTCCCGGGAACGACCATACCAAGTGTGTCGTTTGGATTTCTATATGATGTGTGATAAACACAAAAAACAATCTCGGTTCTGTTGAACTAGCGTGTCTTCTTTGACATTAATCTTTTAGCGAAAATGTAATGTTCGTACAAGAGGTGGTGGAAAAGGAGAATAACAAGTTTGAGCGCTTCCAGAAAAAGAGATAAAAGCACCCCCTGATTAAGTTTGAGACTAAAATATTACATATTGTGCAAGTTAGGGTATCTGAGATGCTTTTACCTCTCATAAAAAGTAGTGGATATGCTCAAACAGAAAACAATGTCAAGTGGAGTCGCTGTGTATACTAGTAGTGGTAGAGACATACTTACACCGATGCACGATGACATGGGAGGTAGAGTCACCGCATAGGTTGTGCGTTGGCCGTCGCCAGCTAACTGAGACAAGCTTTTGATCACCTGGCCATGTATGAGCTTCGTCACCCCGGGTGCGGCAGGACTTTAGGCTAGCCACAGTGGGAGTAACTTCAATAGTAACATCGAGTCTAACTCAGTAAAATTGCTTACGTGATAATGAGTTAATGAGGAAAATAATAGTTACAGTAACTTAGCTAGTTACTGTAACATCGCATGTCCCAATACAATATGAGTCTATAACCTAATAAATGAAGCTTTGTATGTCACTACCACACTCGTAGTAACATAGACTAGGGATATGTGTATGTCACTACTCCTAGACTATGCATTGTGGCTAGTCTAAGGATATGTGTATAAAGAGTACAGCATATGTTACTAACTTACTATGCACTGTGGCTAGTCAAGAATTGATGTTCCGCCATCTTGGAACGGATGCCCGGATTTGTTTACCAATCCAACACAAAAAACAAGGCCTGTTCATAGAGTCGCCACGACCACGCCTAGGGCAAGAGCAAGGGAAGCGGAGCAAAGCAAGAAACACCGCCCGCATCCGCCTCCCTCGACCTTATCCGCCGCGCCGCCCCGAGTTCACCGGCCGTCCTTTTTCCCGTTCCAAAAAAACTAAAAAAGGAAAACGTTCGGCCGCTCGCTCGCATATGCCGCAGCTCTCCCGAATTTTCCAGACTCCTCCGCCCGTCCGTCCGTCCGTTTGTTGGGTTCCTCCCCCACCACCACGACGCGATGCCCTCCGACCGATGCGAGCCACGCGATCCCGATCGCCAAAAGATAAGGGACGGCGACCGGCGCCCCGCTGACACCCGGGCCCCCACGCCGTATTCCCTCTCCACGAATCTCTCCCCTGGCGCACGCCACCCGTCTCGCGTACCGGCGCCCCGCGCCCGCTCCCGCGCCGCCACGCGTCCTGCGCTTTTCGCCCCCTCGTCGCCGCGGCGGCCACCGGCTCCGCGGCTATAAAGCACACGCCCCGGCTCCCTCCTTCTCCAAGCACAAACCAGACTCGACTTCTTCTCCTCCTCTTCCGGCGCCGGCACACTCGGGACAGGCAATCCAATCCATCCCCAGCTCGTCGAGCGAGAGAGAGCAGCGACACCGCACCGCACGTAGTGCGCCACGAGCATCCGGTCCGGAAGCATCCAGCCCAGCCGAAAGACGGCAGGATATATCATAGCTGCTGATAGCTAGCGCGATCGACGCTTTCTGTTCCGGAATAGATTCGATTCCCTTAACCATTCTTGCGGTCGGTCGGGGAGGTTCGCCCATTTTTAGCGCGATCGTTGCTAGCCCGAGCGCTTTTGTTGGAGCGAGCGCCAGAGCCCCCCGCGTGCCTTGTGCGTCTGCTGCCCGCGCGAGCGAGCCGAGGAGGAGGAGGAGGAGGGGCGGAGGGAGGGAGGGATGGCCGGGAGCATGCAGGCGGCGGACGCAGCGGGGCGGATCAGCGCGCTGCTGTCGCTGCTCGCGCTGCGCCGGATCCTCGCCGTGCTCCAGCCCTTGCTCCTGCTCCTGCTCCTGCCCTTCCGCTGGCGGGCGGCGCGCCAGGGGGACGCGGCCGCCGCGGACGCCGTCGTCTCGGCCTCCGCCTCCTCCGGGAAGAAGGCCAAGGCCGCCGTCGTGCTGCGGGTGCCCGCCGTCTGCTCGCGGAGGCAGGCCCTGGCCCGGCGCGAGGCCGCCATGCGCCGCGCCAGGGAGGCCGGGCGCGACTACGAGCTCATCCCCACCGCCCGCGGCGAGACGCTCTTCACGCAGTCCTGGTGGCCGCACGCCTCCTCCTCCTCCGCCGTCAAGCCCAGGTAGGAATCCATTCAAAAAACAAATCCACGCAAAATTTGTCCTTTGTTCAGCCCGGGTGTCCTCTGTTGTTGCCGTGCTGATTGTATTTCTGTCTTTTTTTGGTGATGCAGGGCGCTTGTTCTTGTCATGCACGGGTTGAACGAGCACAGGTGAGAATTCGGTTCCCTTCCTCCTCTGTTTTTCTTAAAAAATTACAGTAACTCGTGTGGCCGGTAGCTGATTGTTGGGTACCTTGGATCGATTTGGCAGTGGGAGGTATGATCACCTGGCGAAACGATTGAACGCCATGGATGTCAAGGTTTACGGCATGGACTGGACTGGTGAGTTTCTCTTTCCTTTTTCCTCTCTTCTTATTTCATTTTGGTTGCATGATGCTTAGTACGTATACCTTATTAGTGCTTAACATTGCTTGACGGAAAATATTGAAGGCAATTAATTTTATGAATTGCGTATAAAAGAGACCAATGATGTTGAATTCTCTTCTAAGTTTCCCCTTGACTGAATGAATTAAGGCGATTTACTCGTGAATCTGAACACTTGAGGGATTGGATGAGTGCTACATACTCTGTTTTTCTGTTCTTCGAACGATTTGTAGTACACTGTTCAAAGCATAATTTTAATTAAAAAGGACGGCTAATTTTTGCCGTCGACAGTTAAGTATAGTTCTTTGCCAATCAAGCTGTCAACTTAAAATTGAGACTAATCATGCGGATTTTATTGACTCTGAAGATCAATAAAAATTTCTGCTGACGTGCAGCCAATGGTTACCATCTTCCATAACCTGGCGATACATCTTTTATAATGAAATGAACTATACTACTCCCTCTGTTCCTAAATATTTGTCTTTTTAAACATTTCAACAAGTGACTACATACGGAGCAAAATGAGTGAATCTTCACGCTAAAATATGTCTACATACGGATGTATGTAGTAGTCCATTTGAAATGTCTAGAAAGACAAATATTTAGGAACGGAGGGAGTACATGAGTATAAAAAAAAATCCATGATGATACGTATCTTCTGTCTAACCTGGCGATTTTGTTGTGATACAGGCCATGGTGGAAGTGATGGTCTACATGGATACGTCCAATCTCTTGATCTTGCTGTCCAGGACATGGTATGAGCAAAGAAATTGACTAGTTCTTCCTGTTATCTGAGACCATCTGCACAAATTCTTATTCAAAGGCTTTTTTTACTCAATGCAGAAAATGTATCTGAAGAAGATCTCAGCCGAGAACCCTGGCGTCCCATGCTTCTGCTTTGGGCACTCCACCGGTGGAGGCATCATCCTCAAGGTACCACCATCACCTGTGACTTGCTTGTTCCATCAGAATTGTGTATGCAACTCGTATATCTTATGGTGTTCCTCGTTTTGGCTATAGGCTGTGCTTGATCCGGAGGTCGACGCTCTTGTCAATGGCATCATCCTCACATCGCCGGCTGTCCGTGTTCAACCCGCGCATCCTGTCGTCGCGGTATGCCACAGTTTTTGTTGAAAGAAATGCACACCAACATCTTCAGAAACATATCAAATAATAACTGATTTTGAATGTTTGCTGTAGGCGCTTGCCCCGGTTTTCGCGCTGATAGCACCGAGGTACCAGTTCACGGGGTCGAGCAAGAACGGGCCGGCGGTGTCGCGCGACCCGGAGGCGCTGAGGGTCAAGTACTCGGACCCGCTGGTGTTCACGGGTTCCATCCGGGTGCGCACCGGCTACGAGATCCTCCGGCTCACGGCCTACCTGCAGCAGCACCTGCGCAGGGTCACGGTGCCGCTGCTGGTGCTGCACGGCGCCGACGACATGGTGACCGACCCGGAGGGCTCGCGCCGGCTGCACCGGGAGGCCTCCACCCCGGACAAGGCCATCCGGCTCTACGACGGCCTGCTGCACGACCTGCTCATCGAGCCCGAGAAGGAGGTGGTGCTTGGCGACATCGTCGACTGGCTCAGCCCCAGGATTTGATAACGCGGGTCGCCGCGCCGGCCAGTCCGTGGGCTGAGGCAGGAAGGTCCGATCATCCGCCGAGCGTGTCGGGGACGGGAGAAACCTCCGTCTGTCCCCGACAGTGATGACGCGGTCGGTCCGATCGCCTGCGCCCCAGAGCGAGGACGGCGAGGATGATTCATCCTCCCTCCCGGCGGAGGAGGCAGTTTTGCGAGCGCGGGAAGATGCATTAGTAACTACCACTACAACTAGTACGTGTGGTGCGGTACGGGGTGACGACTGGTGGTGGACGAGATTGCTCTGTTCCCAGTGTGTGTGTCCCCGAGCTATGTTTTTGACCCATATTTTTGTCCGGTAGGGTAAAACGTTCGATCGTTCGTTGGAGTCGCCCGGTGTGGCGCTCAATAATGTAGACGCCTACCTTCCCTCTCGCAGGGGACGTTTTTCTGCGTCTCGATTCTAATCAGAATCTACGGCAGAATCGATTGATTTCCTTGAATTTCCTTGGCTTCTCCCGTGTCACAATGTGTTATTTGTGTTGCTCACTGCTGCAGACCGGCAGTGGAGCTTTTGGCTTTGGTGAGTGGAGCTTTCGGCTTTGGCGATCTTGACGCCGGTGGCTGGCCGCGTCCCTGTGTCTCGCTCGGCGCACAGCGTTCTCAGGATTTCTCTGGCTGCACTCTTGGTTCTGTCCAGAGATGTCGCGCTCGACTGCTTCACGACGGGGAGAGCTGAGAGGGCAAAAATCGGCCCGGAAATGGGGATGCGGCCAAGAGTCGTGATTTCCTGATCTACGAGTGGATGGCCTGCTGCTTCTTTCTATCGCGATGTGTGAGGTCAGGTATCGACATCGGCTAACTCTTATCGTGACGTGCGAGGTCGGCTATCGGGTATTGACTGGTGATTAGCTCAGCCTCTCCATGCCGCAACCGCAGCCGTGTGCCGTCCGTCCTTGTCAGACTGATTCAATGGCACCACAAGTTATTACACGTTTGATCGAGTTCAAAGTTCAAACACACGCAACACCCATGTTCCAGATCAATGTTCTCTTCTTCTCTGCCTGAAGAAGAGAAGGTGTTTCTCCTATTTCTATTACCTGGTTAAGAATATTGGTACTTCCTTCGATCCATACAAAGTTGTATTAAAGCAGCGACAAGAACTATGGATCAGATGAAGTAAAGAGAAAATGGAAACAAGAAAATAGCATCCATCAGCAATCCTACCAACCCAACATATCGAGTTAGTGAGGACACAGCCAGGGTCGCACACGATGTCAACTAACATATAAGTTTACAATGTGTTTAAAAAATCAGATAAAAAATGCCTTAAATAATAAAATTTGCAATGGCTTAACAGGACAGAACCAGTTAGTTGGATGTATGTTTGAACATAAGTTTTCCACATGCGTACATGTCATACATAAAATATTACAAATTGCCAAGCATGAGATACTACATCCGTCATATCTTAAAAGAAACAAGAAATCTTACCAATTACTCCCTCCGGTCCTAAATATATTTGACTTTCTAGAGATTTCAACAAGTGACTACATACAGAGCAAAATGAGTGAATCTATACTCTAAAATATATCTATGTGGTAGTCCATTTAAAATCTCTAAAAAGACAAATATTTAGAAATGGAGGGAGTATGCTTTAAACTAACGGCCGTGTTACGCATCGGTCGGCGGATGCCTGACTAGCTGTTGGATTGATGCATGCGTGGAGCCATTCTATCTACCCATCCACATGCGTCACCTCTTGCAACAAGAGGGATGTTGCGGAAACAATTATAACATAGGTCGTGTTACAGAAACCTTTGCAACAGAGGTGAAGTAGCAGATTTCAACAAAAATCATGTTGCAGAAAACGTCTGCATATATTTTTCTAACAAAGGTGATGTTTGTAGAATATTTTGCAACGTGGCATATGCGAGCGAGCGACCGAGCGTTTTCTTTTTTTAGTTTTTCGGAATGGGAGACAGCCTGTGAGCTCGGGGGCGGCGCGGCAGAGATAAGAGCAACTCTAGCAGCCCCCGCATCCCGTCGGCCCGCAAAACGCGTTTGCAGTTCGCAGAAAATGGCTTTTGCGGGCCGGCAAGGACGGCCGCAGATGTAGACCCCCCAAACGGACCCGTATAAAAGTATATTCACCGAATATGCTTTTATACGGGTCGGCTTGCGGTGTCTGCTCTTGCACCGCTGCCCTCCGCATCTCATCAGCCCGCAAAATATATCAAAACCAGCATAATACAACAAACGGAAGCAAACTAAATAATTATTCAAATTCAACACAATACAACAATCATTCACATTACAAATAATTATTCAAATCTTAAACAATGCAATACAAAACTTGTGATGAGTACAAATACAAATGAATACAAAAAGGAGTCACTGTCCAGCCCTTTGCCAATGGTGCTTAATGAGATCCTCCTAAAGTTGAAAATGTGTGTTTGCATTTTCAATCTCTTTGTATGTCTGAAGAAAAGCTCTAATGCGGTTAGGGTATCTAGCTGGTTGACACGGCTACCCACATTGTCGTAGAAGAATTCCAAGTTCATTCCTCTCTCATCTTCAAGAATCATATTGTGAAGGATAACACAACATGTCATGATATTTTTTAATGTTTTTTATCCCAAAAAACGAGCAGGACCACGGACAATGGCAAATCTACATTGCAAAACACTGAATGCTCTTTCAATGTCTTTTCGTGTTGCCTCTTGCACCCTTGCAAATTCACTCTATTTTTTAGTTTTGGGTTTTTTGATGCTCTTGACAAATGTGCACCAAAGAGGAGGGTATATACCATCTGCAAGATAGTACCCTTTTGTGTATTCATGCCCATTGATAGTGTAGTTGCAAGTTGGAGCATCACCACTAGCAAGCCTAGCAAACAAATGAGACCGTTGCAATATATTGATATCATTGAGAGTGCCCGGCATACCAAAGAAGTAATGCCAAATCCAGAAATCCTCGGATGCTACGGCCTCTAGCACAATTGTTGCTTCACGAGACTTGCCACAATACATTCCTTGCCATGCCTTCGGGCAATTTTTCCATATCCAATGCATACAATCAATGCTACCTAGCATGCCAGGCCAACCTCTCCTCTCATTAGATGCCATCAACTTCTTTGTGTCATCCTCGTTGGGTGCCCGAAGATACTCAGGACCAAAGACACAGACGATCACTTTTGCAAATCTATGCACGGTCTCAATTGCAGTATCTCACCAATGCGAAGGTACTCATCGGCATAGTCAGCCAGAATGCCATATGCAATCACCCGCATAGCTGCGGAGATTTTTTGATATGCACTAAATCCCTTTAAGCCCGCAACATTTCTTCTTTGAGTAAAATACCGGCAATTTGCCTTGCAAGCTTGAACAAGTTTCACAAAAAGAGATCGGTGCATTCGGTACCTTCTCCGGAAGAGGTGTGGTGGGTATGTAGGATTCTCCGCGAAGTAGTCTTGCATCAACATCTCGTTCCCAAGATGACGATTCCAAGGAATGCAAAGACGCCCGACGGTCGATCCTCGCCTTCTCTTCCGGTTCTCGTCTTCGTGCTCCTTCACGGCAAGTGCCATGACTAATGTCTGCTGCCGAAAGTTGGCAAGCATGGTCTCAACATCCGAGTCTGAATCCAACGAATCGGTGAGCAAGAACTTCTCGCACGGGCTCAAATCCATCTACATGCACACCAGCGCGTCAATGAACTACATCGCTCCCTCGCAAAGATCACAAAATACACACTAACTGATGGAGGATGTTGCGGGTGATCCCGGGCGGTGACGAGGGGCGGGCTCGGCGGTGGTCAATGCCCGGCGGCGGTAGCGACGAGGGCGCTCTTCTCGCCGGATCCGGGAGGGCGGTGCAGCGTGACGGCGCGGAAGGATGGTGGGCGGCCCCGCGGCGCGTTTCTACCCGCAGATTTGGCGGAATCGCCGGCGGCGGAGGGGCGGAAGCAAAGGCGGGCGGCGACAGCGGAAGGGGATGGGGAAAATGCGTGATGGGGAAACCCGCGTATTCGCGGGTTGGGGCCGAGATTTTGCCGTGCCCCCTAAAATTTTTTGCGGGCTAGGGCGGGATGCGGGGTCTGATCGGGCGGGTTTTTCGGCCCTGACCCGCATTTTGACGGTTATTTTCCGGGTCGGGGCGGGATGCAGGATCTGCTAGAGTTGCTCTAAGGTCGAGGGAGGCGGAGGCGTGCTGCGTTTGTTGCTTTGCCTCGCTTCCTTGCTCTAGGCGCGGTCGTGGCAACTCTATGATCTCGCATTGCTTTTTGTTAAAATGGGTAGTAGTACAAAATTTCGGGCGTCCATTCCGAGGTGGCGCGATATCGATTTTTACTTAAAGTCCTGCCGCGCCCCGGGGTGACCAAACTCAAACATGCCCAAGTGATCAAAACTCAAAAGCTTATCTCGGTTAGCTGGCGAAGATGCACGGCCAACACACAAACCTAGAACAAAGGAATGATAAAAGTGTCCCATGATCGTTTGTCGTTGCTCCTTATCCTTAGGTTCAAAACAAAATAGTTATGAATGGAGAACAAAAGATATGGATTCGAGCATACATTATCCACTCGTTTTTTTTGTGTGTGTGAGTACCGTATCCACTCGATAATTGTGAACGGAAATTGTGGTTCGCATTGCGTAAAGGAGAGAGTAACCAGACGAGCTTTGAGCATTTATCTACACTAGTTAGTATGCACGTGTAACGCACGTCTTCCTTAAAAATGTTTTTCACAAGTTTTTCAAATCTACATTATCACTACATGATCACACATTTTTTCTGTTTTTTTGTCTCGCTCAAGATTGCTCCAAATTCAAAATTGTATTTTTCATTGTGAAATTTTACTGAATCTGAAAGATATTACAAGACAAAACCAATCTTATCCTCTTATATGAATAGCAACATCCTAGAACAATTATTACCACACCATACCCTCACAAAAATAATCAACGAAATAATCAGGAATGACATGTACTTCTCTTCTCAACTTGGAGTAACATGGAAAACT